ATTTCCACAAGTTTCGGACGAAAATGACAGTGAATATTTGCCAACAGGAAAGCTCTTCGGAAAAAGTTGTTGAAAATTTGGAAGAAAGGTCAAAAATTTTAAATAAATTTGGCAAATATGGAAGAATGATTACTTACTAAGCTTACGAGAAAGAATGCAAACACGTCTGAAAGCAAGTCGTATTCAGTCGCCTGTAATCCAACAATTGGAGATATTGTTATTGTAAAAAAAAACTTTTTCTCGAGGCAACTGGAAACTGGCAAAAATTGAGAAGTTAAATGTCAGTCGAGATGGTGCTATAAGATCATGTCAAATTAAATTGACTTCAGGAAATGTTCTGAATCGTCCAATGAATTTACTTTTTCCCATTGAAACGACTCAAAATGATATAGTTTACAAAAGAAAAAAGTGATTGAAAATGTGCTTGAAGAGCAATTAATACGTTTCAAACAGAAACAAAAACAAGATGCAAAGTTATCAGATGTCCGAACGTTATGTACGTTCTGCAGCATCAAAAGCGTTAAAAGCAATTAAACAACAGTTATCCGAATAAAAAGTATATAGTTAAGGCGGAGTTTAATTAAAAACTATATGTTCACTTTAACGTTAACGATTGTACACTGTGAATGCTCCGCCGGATATTTGTTTGTTTACGCAAGACTGACATGTACAAATAACCTCAACGGAGCATAGTTACTGTGTAAATTACCCAAAGTTTTTCTCGCAAAAATCGTGCAAATCATGGAAAATAGCATATAAAATAATTAAGAAACTTTGTATTGTGTCATCATTTCACAGTAGACACCTACAGATAAATATTAGAAAAATCGCAAAAATATTAAAATGTATCAATGCGATACTTGTCAAAAGATGTATAAGTATAAGAGAAATCTACTACGACATGTTAAAGAACGACACAGAGAGGCTGAACATTGGAATTGTCCTGTTGAGGAATGCACATCCAAATTCATTCGTCGGGGATATTTGTGCAAACATTTGATACTAAAACATGGCTACACATCATTGAAGTCACGTGAATCTGCTATATCAGCCACCAGAGGAAACGCGTATTCACAGAACTCATACTACGATGACGTCAGCGACGATGATTCCATATTAGATTTATTGTCATACAACGACACACACAACGACTTTGGGCCAGTTTTTTAGACAGTTTTTCGATTTGAACATACTTGATGAAACAAACAACAGTCAGTATGATGACGTCAGTAGAAATGACGTCAGAGACGTAAACGTAAATGATTGTCAGGCAAAAGTGTTGAGTGCAAGGATGTTGAAGTTCCAATTGAAATAAACAATAGTGGTAGTGAACGTCAAGAATGATATTTTGTGACTCAATAAGTGACGTTAATGTCAACGTAAAACGTCAACGTTAACGTCAAAGGAATAAATAGGCAACCAAAAGGATTCTGGACAAAATACAGAAATTAAAAACAGTGAAACTGAAAGTGATAGTGAGAAGGAGGACGGTTATAGTGTCGTAAACAAGTTTCTCCGAGGGAGATAATATTGACGTCGACGTTTGACAGTCATTATGATCAAAACACAGAAAATTCGACGTCTGAAAAGTATTGTTGATGAAAAATAACAACTGTTGTTTGATAGTAAAGAAACAGATCTTTCCGTCGACGGCAGTGACAACGACGCTATCAATAATAACGTTTTGTGATGAAGATATGGTTATTATTTCAAGTGACGGAGAATCTAGTGGAGGAGACAGTGACCCAGAATATCAACAAATCGAACTAGCCACGTCTCAATACAAACCAAAGTGTGGAACTTTACATTTAGACAAAGGTTATGTATACGTCAAGGACAAGAATACGTTTTAGGAGAGAATATTGAATGTGTGACTATTTTGAGTTTGACAAATAGACTAAAAAAATGTGTTCGTGTGTTTAATTATGTCAAAAAAGACTGGTGTTGCTTTTCAATATGAGCACAAGAATTTGAGACTGCCATGAAAATATTGATCTTATTTTGTATATTTTTCAATTTCTGTATATATTGACTTGGAAATGATATTGTTAGAAAACATTTTGATTGAAATGATTTTGTAATAAGTAATTACTAGTATAATATCAAATTTACATATGATAGATGAATATTAACGGTTGTATAATATCTGAATACTTAAAAATGTTCTTATTACATAATAAGATTATACAGGATAAATATTGTTTAAATTTCAACACTTTAATTTGAACTTAAAACTTTGAAGTTATTGCAATGCTTTGTTTATTTCGCTTTGGTGGGAGTGTCGCAAATAGCGAGTGTATATATACAATTAAGTTATCGGAGTCAGTTGATGACCGGTTGAGTCAAGACTCCGTCGGAACCTGAAAGAACTCCGTCAGAATCCGTCGGAGTCGATACTTAAATATTTCATGTATCACGAGTTTCATGCTATTTTCAGGTTAATTGTTACCTATATAAAGGGAATGAAATTGGAAACCGGGGTTATTAGTTGGGGATTAGTTTAGTGAGTTTAGTTGTTGTTAAGAGAAAATTACATGTGAGGATATTCAGGATATTGTCTGTAAAATAAAATAAAATAATTGGATTATAAAATAAAGAAAGTTAACAAGAAATTATTGTGTTTTACTTAAAATAAAATAAATTCCAATGTGTGGCAAAGAAATAGAATTATACAGTCCTAAAACTGAAAGTTATTAAATTTCGCCACATTGTATGGTCCCGCGAACCGGATAACAGTCAGTGGATAACAGTCAGTGGATAACATTCAGCGGATAACATTCAGTGGATACAATAAGTGAAGGAGAGTGCTTTTAATAAGAATTGTGATTTGGATATTGTTCAGTGAAGAATTGTTTGTTATCTTGGATACATTTATTAGGTGAGTGTGACTTCAACTAAAACTAAAAATGACTAGTGTTAAACATTTAAAAGGTGTTAGGACAAGATTTAGAAATATTCTGCAGAAAAATATTGATTTTGGAAACGATCTATAGTATTGATATCGAAAGCTGTAATATTGAGAAACATGTGCTGGAAACAAATAAATGTATTCAAACTTTAAAAGTGTATTGTGAAAAGTTAGAAGTTCAAAGTGAAAAATTGGCAGCAGCAATCGAAGAAGGTGATTCAAAAGTAATTGAAACAATTACTGAAGAAGATTGTGAACTGTGTTCTTAAGCTGTAGAATGCTCTATAAATCTACAACAATTTAAAGAAATGCTTCTCAACGAAAAAGAGAAGAGTGAAATGAAACATGTTAAAAGTGAATCAAGTGTAGAAACACATTCAGATGAGTTTTATGGCACTACACAAGGACATGCAAAAACTCATGCAGCTACAAATTCAACAACAAGAAAGACTACTGGACATTGAAGTAAACAAAGGTAAACATTCTTCTACAAAATTACCTAAACTAGATTTAATATCATTTGGAGGAGATAATACAAAATGGAGTGAATTCTGGGATTCATTTAAATGTTCAGTGCATGAGAATCAATCACTTTCAAATAGTGAAAAATTCAATTATTTACGAAATAAAGTATTCGGAGAGGCTCAACGTGCGATCTCAGGTCTAACATTATCGGACGCTAATTATAAAATTGCAATCGATATCTTAAGGGAAAGATTTGGAAAAGTGCAAGAAGAAGTTGACTTACATTACAATAAATTAATCAATTTGGAGCCAGCATCGAATAAAACCGGAAGTTTAAGAAGCTTGCTCGATACAGTTGAAAGGCATTTACGCAGTCTAGAAGTGTTACATCAAGATATTGATCAAGCTGTGTTTGTGTCAATGATACGAGCTAAACTACCTGAGGAAGTTCTTGTTCAGTTAGAAATATCAAATGGGTCAAACAATGAGTGGAGTATAGACAAGCTTCGAAAACGTTTGAATGAATATATTCTTGCCAGGGAAAGAGCAGAAAAGAAAGATAATGTGTTGGAAAAGAGAATACATGCATCATCTATTCAATCAGGATACAAGCAAAATTCAGCTCAACTAAGGAGCTATACATATTCAGCTCAGTCAAGAAATAATACAAATTCACCCCAACCGAGGAGTTATTCGAAATCAGCACAATCAAGAATTTATTCAAGTTCTGCTCATGTGCTTACAGTGAATAACCCTAAGCAACTTACACAAAGACAACAGACTGAAAATTATGCAGATAAATGTAGTTATTGTCAGCAGAAACATTGGAGCGATAAGTGCACACAATGCCGAACTATAAATGAAAGAAAACAGCAATTGAAAGACAGCTGCTTCAAGTGTTTAAAGACAGGTCACAAATCAAGTGAATGTAAGAAAAACAAAATTTGTGCACACTGTGGTGAAGTGAACAAGCATCACAGAAGTTTGTGTCCTCAAAAATTCAAGGTGAAGGAATCAATGACGCATTTAGCAAACGAAGAAACAGAATATAAAGAGACTGAAAATTCTGAGGAAAATGTTCTCGTGTCGTCAAGTGAAATGGTTCTAATGCAGACGGCGATTACAGATATCAAAAATCCAGATACCTCTGCAACACAGTCTGTTAGACTTTTGTTGGACTCTGGATCTCATCGGTCATATATAACTGAAAACTTAGCAAGAAAGTTACATCTCAAAGTAACGGGAGAACAGGAAATAAAACTTGTAACGTTTGGTAATAATAGTACACAATGCATTAACACAAAATGTGCTAACATTGATGTTAAACTGAAAAATGGTGAATACCATTCAATCAGTGTGAACATAGTTCCGACAATAAGTGGCAATTTGCATCGAAGTCCAGCAGGCGTTTTGAATAAGGAGCATGTTAAACATATTATTGGAAGTGTTGATTTAGCTGATACATTACCAACTAGAAACGAAACATCATCAATAGAAATGTTAGTTGGTAACGACTATTATTTGGATTTTATTCTGTGTCAAAAGATCGAACTAAATCCTTGTTTGTTCCTTCTTGGGTTCAAGTTAGGATGGATCCTTACCGGAAGAACCTCTGATCAAGATAGCGATGGCCCATGTATGCTTATTCTAACGCATGGTAATAATGCAACAAATACAAGTTTATTTGCCGATGTGGATAGTGTTGTACCTGTGAAACCAAATTTAGAAGACTTTTGAAATGTGGAGTCAATAGGTATTATAGAAAAACAAAATATTTCAGATGATGAACATGCAATGAAAATGTTTCAGGATACAGTCCAGTTTGAAAATGGCCGATACCACGTGGCCTTGGACTGAAGAATTTTCCTGATTTACCTGTGAGCAGGGACTTGGCAATAGGTCGCTTAAAAAGCTGTGTTAATAAACTAAAAACAAAACCTGAGTTGATGATGAAATATGATAAAGTTATGAGAGATCAGCTAAGTAAAGGTGTTATAGAGAAAGTTGAAAAATCACCAGTAGATGGTTTGGTACATTATTTGCCACACCATGCTATTATCACACCGCAGAAAACAACAACTAAGATACGCGTAGTAAACGATGCTTCGGCGAGAACAAGAAAAGAAAATAAAAGTATAAATGAGTGCATGTAAAAGGGACCAGTAATGCTACAGGACCTCTGTAGTATGTTACTACGATTCAGGATGCATCCAATAGCAATCGTTGCCGATATAGAAAAAGCATTTTTGCAAATTGGATTAAAACCTAGTCAGCGTGATGTCACAAGATTTCTTTGGTTGAAAGACTGTAAAAATCCTACTGTAGTTACTGACAATATACAAGAATTCAGATTTTGTAGGATTCCTTTTGGAGTAATCAGTAGTCCGTTCTTATTAGGAGCAACGGTAGACTTCCATTTAAAATGTTATGAAAATCCAGTTGCAGAAAATCTAAGAAACAACATTTATGTAGAAAATGTTATCACCGGAGCTGAAAACACAAGTGAAGCAATACAGCTACATACAAATTCAAAGGCAATGTTTGCAGATGCCTCGATGAATTTACGGGAATGGATTACCAATAGTGATTTTGTAAATAAATTCATTCCAAAGGAAGACAGAGCCGATACGAAAAGTGTTAAAGTACTTGGACATCATTGGAATGTCAATGAAGATACAGTTACAATAGCAGGTCCAAAAAACAAATCAAATGAACCGGAGTGGACAAAACGTACTGTGTTGAAAACAATTTCGTCGGTTTTTGACCCACTTGGCTTGCTATCACCAGTACTCTTACGAGGATAAGTGTTTATTCAATCATAATGGCAGAAAAATATCGACTGGGATGACAATTTGACTAAAGAAGATCAAGAAAAATGGTTGTCTATTTTAATAGATATTCGCAAAATAGACACGTTGCAAATTCAAAGATGCGTTTGTGCGTTCACAGGACATTCTAAGAAATACTTATTGTTATGTTTCTGTGATGCATCGGAAAAGGCATTCTCAACAGTGATATATCTGCATGTTTCAGAGAAAAATACAACCGATGTAAATGTAATATTTGCAAAGACAAGACTTGCGCCTATTAAGAAACTAACAATTCCTAGGTTGGAGCTTCTAGCAGTTCTGATCGGACTGAAGTGCTTAAAATTTGTTAAAGAGCAATTAAGAGTGCCCATTGAAAGGCAATTTTTATGGACAGATTCGAAATGTGTTTTACAATGGGTTACGTCGGATAAGAAATTACCGTTATTTGTAAAGAACAGAGTTAGTGAAATCAAAGAGCACATTGATGTTAACATGACATACATACCAAGTAAAGAAAATCCAGCAGATGTTGCATCCCGAGGAACAACACTGGAAACATTAGCAACTGACTCTAATTGGTGGCACGGTCCTAAATGGTTGTTGAAGCCTACCTCTGATTGGCCAACCGATTATCAAAAAAACGATGATAGCTCACAAATAGTTGAAATGGAAGAACAAACAAACAAGACAAGACAATAAAGAGACAATGTTAATGCAAACTAAAATTAATGCGGAAGAACATAGTAATAATCCTCCATTTGACATTGACAGTTAAAGATTTTCTTCTCTTACAATCTGCTAAGAGTAACAGCTTTTGTGTTGCGATTCATACAGAAACTAAAGAAAGTTGAAAGAAAATATGTTTATTTAGAATGTGAAGAATTGTTAGAAGCTGAGAACATGTGGATTAAGCATATTCAAGAAACTCATTTTCAAAGTGACATCAATTCTATTCGAGCTATAAAGGTACAAATAGACAACAACAATTAGGGATATTTCTTGATGGACAAGGGTTATTAAGATGCACTGGAAGGCTTGAAAATGCGAATTTAAGTGAAGGTGCCAGACAACCAATACTTCTTCCAAGAAACGATCATTTGACTGAATTGATTGTGGAAAAAACGCATAAAGAGCTACTACATAGCGGTGTTTCGCAGACGCTTGCAACAACGAGGAAAAGATTCTGGATTTTACATGGTCGTGCAACAGTGAAAAGAGTGTGAAATAAGTGTGTTGTCTGCAGACGCCACGAAGGTGGTTGCTATAAAATGCCACCATTGTGTTGTCTACCGAGGTCAAGAGTGACAGAATCAGTACCATTTTCAAGAACAGGACTAGACTATTTTGGTCCAGTGTACTTGAAAACTACAACAGGTGACGAGAAAAAGGCATGGGTATGCTTACGGCTTAGTAACTCGTGCTGTGCACCTTGAACTAGTTTGTGACATGACCACAGAAGAATTTCTCTTAGGTTATCGTCGTTTCATAGCTCAAAGAGGTACTCCATCGCATATAATTAGTGATAATGCAAAGCAGTTTAAAGCCGCTAGTTTAGTGATAGATAAGATATGGCATTGTATATTACATAGTCATGATGTTCAAAGCTACTCTGCAAATGCAAACATCCAATGGAAGTTTATAATAGAGCTCGCGCCCTGGATGGGAGGATTTTACGAGAGGTTAGTCGGTCTTGTAAAAAGATCATTCAGAAAAGGTGTGGGGCGAAAACTCTTAACTATCATTCAAGCTCAAACACTTATCAAAGAAATTGAAGCCGTAGTGAACTCAAGACCTTTAGTCTATATTGGTGATGATGTAAACTCTACAATTGCATTAACACCGAGTCATTTTCTTACGTTGAATCCAAAGATCGGTATATCTTTATATCCCTCTATTATTGTACTTTATCGTATTGGCATTGTCCATCGTATCCCCCAATGACGTCATCCAATGGCGACAACTTGAATACGGTCTTAAATGAAAGGGTCTATAGAACTATAGAAGTACACCAAAAAATAGAAAGATTTTAAGAAATGAGAATTAAAGCATTTTTAGGCCACAATGTGCCTTAAATAAGACAATATAGCTATATAAAATAAATATCAAGAAAACATTACACAACAAGCACACAAACCAACGGTTGCTCAGATATAACCTATCAAATTAATTTGATATTAAATTAATAAATGCTTGAATTTGGAACTGTCCATCCCAGGACTCCAGTAAATTCGATTTACTTTTCAAATACATAACACGTTTACATGGTTATTTAAACAGCTATTATTCTTATTCAGGCTTTTTGTAAGTTAAAAAGCGTTTACATATCCGCAATATACTGGAACCACTAAAAATCTAATAAATTTGATTCATGTTGATTAACCACAGGCACTCGGTGCTTGCTTTTAATTTCATTGATATATTCTACAAATTATTTAAAGTATATAATATGGATGAAATTAAAAGAACCACGCACCAACTGCCTGTGGAACTAACTAGCATCTTTGTGGAAGTTTAGAAAAATAAAAATATCATAACTTTACAAGTTGATCGAAATTTTGTGCTTGATCCTAAAATTGATCCTTACTTTGTATGAATTATCCTTGTATTTTGCAGTGTTATGTTTCTATATATCAGCCATAAATTTTATCTAAAACTATGTATTGAAATATAATATTTTATCCAACCAAATCGTTTTTATTTTCATAATCTTTGATACTTTAAATCTGCACCAACCTTTCATTTAATACCACTCCGTTTAATCAGCGTATCATACTCGCACTTAATTGATTTCAACCACTAAATTGGTTAGTATTTAATCATTAGTCATTAATACCATTAAATCTGTCGCGTGACTGTGTGGCACCAGTCAAATTTAAATTCATTAACGTTTGCTTACAAACACTTACCTGTTCAAAATGTTGTTTCTTTGCTAATCAAAATGTTTTAACATTGTGTTTATGTACCCTACCATTTAAGCCTGATATGACCAATGTTAGTTTCAATATAGTCAGGACGTTTGGTCCTTTTTGGTGAACATGGGGCCTGGATAAGAAAAGAACATTTGGGCCTGAATAATAAAAGAACACTGGGACCTAAATAATAAAAGAACATTGACAAATAAATGGTTTGATAGGTCCAGCACTTCTATACGGTGAGTGTCTAGTTATTTTCTGAATAACCAGGTGAGTAACCATCACTTTCGTCAGTAAAATGCCATTCAGAGTTAGTGTTCAAAGATTGCACTTAAAACTGCTATTATAATGTATTATAAGATACCATAAATATTGGAATAGCTGAATATACAATATTATGGTCTACCAATACACATTGGTGTTAATAGAATATCAGCTTGTAAAAAAGAAATTATTTAATCTATATAATTATAATCTAGGTTTAAACTAATATAACAAATCTATTACAAATTTTCAAAACTCAAAACATTATATGATATAATGGAAGTGCAATCCAGTAAAGTTTATGAGAAAGACAACAATCCCATGAAGACATCCGGCTTGACATCTGCTGTAACCATGATACGTCAGTGGCTTCAATGTCAAGGTCAGTGTGTTAATGCTGTCATGGTAACTAAATATATATAACATGTCCATTTACTGAAAATGAAACGGCTACAAAAAGTACTGCAATTTGTCAGTATAATACGAAAGACTTCCTGACTTCTCGGGTTCATCTTCTCGAATTCACAATTTCAACTTTATGAATTCACGATTTCAGCATACAGAATTCACGATTTCAACTTCATGTTTTCACGATTTCAACTTCACGAATTCATCTCCATGTATTCGAGTTTTTGAACTTCACGATTTCAATTTCATGAATTCACAATTACCTCTACGTGAAGATGTGCCCCCTGAACGCCCACTGGAAGTAGTTAGAATATTTTAAGTAAACGTATTCTTGTATGCTTTGAGTAAAAGAGATTCATCATTAAAGCGAATTAGAAATGTTTGATCAATTACCAAGTATGAAATAATAAAAGAATTAACATTTCCAGAACAGTTAAACGTATTCAGTTTAGTTTAAAATAATTCATTTTAGTTCGATTGTTTTGGAAGTTATAAGCTTATTGAATCACTCAAATCCGTTTCTGGAACCAGCACTTAGCAATGATCATCAAGGGGTTTGAACAAATGTGGCCAGCAATCCTTAGAGTACTAGCCTGACGCGTTGACCTCACTGCCACACCTCCTCTAAACATATTCCAGGGAACTCATTTAAGGACACACAAAATTTATAATATTTACATAGATATAGCGTTTTCACGTCTTTAGCAAAATAAAAATGACTATTTTGAATAACAAAGTCGGGTTATTTTAAGATGCACTCCGAAGTCCTGTCCAGTACAATCATGTCAAAAGAAATTGAGCAAATAACCTGATGTTTTTGAAAATGATCATATAGACTAATTCAAACGGTTTAAATTTCGAAATGATAGAAATAATACTTCCAGTCCCGCCATGTCAAACAATTAAAGTCGAGTCCTTTTGACATGCTCTACTAAATATAAAAAACATGGTACATACATGTCAAACTTTATCATCAAATAAAACTCAAAATAGATACATGTATTTGATATTATAAAATTATATTAGATATTTTAATAGTAGACGCAAGGTTACACAAATAGAACATTTAAAAACCACTATGGATCCAGTTAACTTTACAAATTCACAAATACATTATCTTTCAACGTTTGAAATGTTATATAAAATAGTGTTATGACGTAGATTTTTTATGATATTTAGTGGTTTTATACATTTATTGCCGATAAGTTAAATTATAAACAAATATGTAATCTTGTCTTTAAAAGTAAAGTAAAAACCTTTCGCCATTATTTGATATATATACTAGCAAATTACTATCATTTGTAAAATATCAGAACAATTCGTCCCTAAAATTATTCGAACTCAATACCATTCGTACCAATATTCGACCCGAAATTCATATCTCTTGGATGTTTGATTTCCTCAATGTCAGTAAAATATAACTACTTTATTGGGTATAAATAGAGCTCAAAGCAGTGCATTGTGGGTCTTCTCAAAATCCCTCCGGAGGCGTGCACGTCGCGGAGAAGGCACAAGATCAAGTCACCTTATGTACCAGAGGTGATTGGTTGACCTGTCGTGACTAACTTTGGAGGGTTGGGGCTAACAAATGCCGTTTTTGTATTATCGTTGGTCAGGAAGCTGTTGCCTTGGCAGTATTGTCGTCTCCTTCACCACCACTGAACGAAGAACAGGCTACCGAAGATTCAGCATGAAAAAGACGTCCCCGATGAGACTATCATAGTGGACCGACAAGGATGCTATATTCTTGGACATATGGTTTATTCCGGCGCCGAGTATCAACAAACTTAAAAACACACATTGTGATTTCGATTCTTGGGCTGGCCAACTTTAATTACTAGTCTTTCGGATGAGACTTCTAATCGAGGTCCCATGTATGAGTGCTTTAACACTTGGCACGCTAAAGAACCAGGAGAAGCTTCTTGAATTGGGACATCTTTCTGTATCTGTATCTTGCACTATCCTTCAAAATATAAAATGGCTGATTCTCTTCTGGAGGACTCGCCCATTTGGGCAACCAGTGGCGAGTATAAATAACTCAAATACACACACATGGACAGTCAGTATCTGCCTAGCTGCCGAAGTGTCAATATCACCGAAATTATTAATTAATATTTTAGATTAATTATTTGGAATCTTGCACTATTTACGAAGTTTATCAATTGCATCACTTTAACATTGCGTTAGGTGTAATTGTTAATACTAAAGTATAAATTTAAAACTCGATATTCACGTGGTTATTATATAAATGTATATTAAATAGCCTAAAAATTGAGACCTAAGTTTTATATAAAGTTCAAGTAAAACACATCAACTATATAGGTACGTTACTGTTATAAACAATATTTAATTAAACTTGATTCCAAAGTTTAAACAAATTATTTTATAATCATTTGTAACCCAATCAACTGGCAAAGTAGCCATAAGAAAACAAATATATATAACAGATAGCCCGTGCACGTTACAATAGATAACTTAACTTGTCCTAGTTGTCGTTTTATGACGTTTCAAAACCAAATAAGAACCTGTAGATAAAAACGCTTACTCCTTAAAAGCTGTCTCAGGTCTTCCATTAAGTGTCAAAATTTGGAAGTCAGAAAGAGAAAATGCCTGACCTTAGAAGTCTCATTATATTGGTAAAGAAGTCTAAAATCAGGAGTAAATGTCTCCAGAGATTCCACTCATGGAAGCCCTGCTGTGTATTGACTTACACTCATCCTCATCTCAAATATTTCCCCAACATAATCTCATCCTTTATTTGTATGTTCTTGCCAGTTGATATGTTTCATTAATTACCACAAGTGGTTCAGCTGGACAAACGTATCTAATGGTCATCCACTAGAAATGATTTCATTAAATGAATTATACTTTATAGACTTTCTCGGGTTTTCTTAGGGAATTTGACTGAAATTGGTATAAAATATTATGTATATTCGTAAAGTTAAATGATGCTTTCAAATTAATGCTAACAACAGTAAAAAGGTAAAGTAAAGTCAAATAGAAAACCTAATAAAATTACGATATTCGAGCATAGGTGTAGATTCAGAACTCGGTTATCGATTTGTGTTAACCGTTTTGGGTAGTGATATTGTTACATCTAACTCTCGTTCACAAATTTATTTATTTGATAAATACATCAACTATCGTTATCTCGACATAGCTTTTCTCGATATTTCGTTATCTCGATGAAATTTTGAAAGTCCCGATTTTCTTCCTTCTTAATCTATATAGGAAATATTTGTTTATCTCGATATTTTAATTTCGAAATTATCAGTATCTCGATGTACAATTTCAGCCCCAACAGTTATTTTGAAACTATTATCCTTTGTTTATCTCGACTTATAGTTTTCTTTCGTCTGTTCCCTTCAGACATGTGAAAAACACAAACTAGACGATAATTGCTCAATAGCGCGTGTTATAATGATGATTATGTTTGTAACATGTTATGCTGTTTTTATAAAAGTTAATTTATTTAGCGCGTTGATTGATTTTATGTCCAAAATGAGTGAATTTTACGTTCTTTATAAATATTCGAACACTGTATCAATTCATTACGACTTTAAATGTAAATGAAATAGTAAAAGTATAGAAACGCTATCGTTGCAATATTGTTTCAGAACATCACCACCAAATCAATCAGCGGTCGAACAATCTCGAGAAAAACCCGATAAATAACTCGGATGGATCTCCGGATCAACCACCCTGAAAACAATGTTTTCACTATATTGGTGTATTACTGAGTAAACGTCACTATGTGTTTTTATCACAGAAACCCGTAATTCCGCTTGTAAACATCCGCTAATGTTACTTTGTTAAATATTGACTAGCCTATGAAAACAAGACATGGGGATATCATAGTTTATTTGACATAAGGTATGCACATGTCTTTTCTAAAAATCAGTTTCTGCCTTATTCAAACTCTAATATGTTTATCTCGACATTTCGTTACCTCGATATTTTTGGACGGTCCCGATGACTTCGAGATAACGAGAGTCTTACATGTACACACTTTCTTTAACAATATAATGAAAAATACAATAAGTGAGAAATAAGAATTAGCCCATCAAATGTCAACAAATCACTCTTTTATAAGTTTAATAAAAATTTCTCTCTTTTCCTGACTGTTGCCTTCAGCAGAAGCACAATTTCAGAAGAAAGTTTTGTTAACAAGTACTGTCAGTAAGTCTAGTAAACCTTATTAAATGCGTTACTAAGCATCAAGCTCTAACTTAAAATAACTCAATTTACCTAATTCGTCAACAACTTTGTTGGTCCGCTTTAGTTTCATAATAGGATGAATTCACTTTTTTAGAAAACGTGCCTGTAATGTCATAACAAAATATTTAATACACGTATTTCACGACCAAAGACAAAAAAATGTCATTTTTTTTCTAAATACTGTATTGGAAAAAGAATTATTCGAAAGAACAGATTTAGTTTAGATCATTATTTTTTTCTGGACACAAAATTCAATTGTTGGGATACAGGAGAAATCCAGTAAACGAAGACCAATATTCCATGTATGTGCTTGGATCGCTGCATTTAGTAAGGTACACAGTGTCCCCAACGTTAAGATTTATCACGATAGACTGGGATATAGCAGCGTTTCCTTTGTCTGTTGAGTCGTCAGTTGGATCAACAGCTATATAGATTAGAGACTGTCTATTCTTGTAAAGTCGACAATATACACTATCAACCCTCGATGATGCCCGTTTCTTTACCAATGTAACAGAGAAATGGTACACACCGGATTTGCTACATGTGTAAGTTCCTGTCGAGATACTAAAATCATTGCCATACTGGTAAATGGTAATTGAAAAGGTCAGTTTTGAAATTCCGTTGATGTTGCTATAGGTTTTTGGTCTTTGGACAGAAAATGCAGACTTGAATGCTGGAATATATAATACACATATACATTTTGACAACATTGACTTACCTTATACAAACTTAACATTAAATAAAATGCATGAAGTAAAGGGGCCTCCGGTGAATGGTGAAGGTCCCCGGCTTTAAATCATTTGCCCTTCAACGATTTCGGTTCAAATGCAGTCCGATGAAAAAAGATTTTAAGCAAAACATTTATATTTAAAGGACTGTTTTGAGGTACTTGACTTTACAATTTACTATTCCATATTATCATGGTTTAGTAAGAAACATTAGCATAATGGAGTTGGTACGCGGTCTGTATTTAATAGAGAATAGGATCGAAATGTATAATTGGAAGACGATCGCTCTAGTTTCTTAATGCGTTTTAAAAGGGCAATTTCAATGTTAATTATTTGCACACACTTTCTATCAGAGCTCCTAATACATTCTGCACAAAAACATTTTCGGAATGAATCTTCGAAATTTCTTCCGTCGTTTGAAAACGTACGGGCTAAAACGGATAATTGCTAATCAACTGTAGATGGGGCCTAACGTGATACGCCCCTGTAAACACTCTATCACGATTATTTTGGTATTTGAACACGAATGGGACATCCATTACAACGATAAAACTGGTTTTCAAACAATTTTTACATATATGAAAAAAATACCGTTTACCATCAAGTCTCATTAAAGTAAAGATTACAGACTCCAAAATAAAAAAAAACTAATAAAACCTTATATTATTAAATACGTCATGTCATGGTATTATCTGCAAGCGCTCGTTTAAAAGACATTTATTGTAAAAATGCTAATACAAATATGCACAGTGTGTTGTTTCCCAAGTTTGTTATTCTATAAGGTACAATATAAATATTTTAATTTGACGGTCATATTGGGTCTCCCTAAAGTGACGATTTTGATACAAGTTTCGTCGTGAGAAAATTATAGTGTTTAGTCCCGGCTCAAAAATCGAAACGAGAGCGCAAACATGCTAGGCTCAGGTCGCGTATTGGTTTGACTGTTTACATTTTGGCGTCTGCAATGTTAACTTCAATGAGACTTGATGGTAAACGGTATTTTTTCATATATGTAAAATGTGTGAAAACAAGTTTTATCGTTGTAACAGATGTCCCATTCGTGTTTAAATATTAAATTAGTTTTGATATAGTGTTTACAGGGGCATATCGCGTTGGGGGCAGGATCTGACCCAAACGTATTGAGCTTTAATGGTATACGGTATTTTTCTCATGTATGTAAAAATGTTTGAAAACCAGTTTTATCTTTGTAACAGATGTCCAATTCGTGTTTAAATATTAAAATAGTTTTGATGGAGTATTTACAGGGGCCTATCACATTGGGACAGGATGCGTCTGTGGTAGAAACAAATACAATTATCGCGTTATTTCATCTATTATTCCTTACCTGTACAGCTTTCTTTTGAACATCGATTAATCTGTAAACTTTCTCCAATACAATCCTTTCCTTTATTCTCGGGCATTGGATTTGTACACCGTCTTGTTCGTAATTGCCTCCCATTGCCACACGTGACGTCACATGAGGTCCAGCTGGACCAGTTTGCCCATTGACCATCGACTGGAAATCAACAAATTAACAAAACATTTGACACGACACAAGTATTTCATGCTTAAAACAAGATTCTAACACTATCGGAATTTTTTTCTATATAAACAAAGAAGGCCCGAAGCGTGCATTATTCTACAACAATGCACTCGCCGTTCTTATTATTTCCCTGTGTATTTTCACATTGAGGGCGCCATTTTGTTTGAAAAATCTTATAAATAAAAACATTTTTTGTCGAATTTTGTTGTGAAAACTATCTAGAATGAAAGAAAATGGTCTAACTAAGGAAATGAATCCGAACACCAGTATCTTTAATTCAGTCGTTAACGCTGTACAGACGTTTAAAGTGTTGTTGACGTGACGTCACAATGTAGCGCCAAACAGCACGTGCAAAACAATCAAATCAAGTACGCTATTTTAATGTCGCAAACGAGTTAAGTTTTACATTTATTCCACTTTTAATAATTTGTATTTCGCTTGAAAAAATATAGTCTAAGAGTGAAATAAAATAAACATACAAAGTTTTATCAACGTTTTCAAAATTCGTTATTCTGAAAATGTTTCTACACACGGTAGATTGAATGACAGTTTTTTTCAACCCACTGGAACAGCCTTTAAAGAACGTTTTTATTGGAAACTCTGAGGCGAAAACAAATTTAACCACCAAACATAAAGTCCGACTTTATAATAATAATTATATTCTTTCTTGACGTGTTAGAATGGAAATAGATATTAATTCGTCGTGCACTATTGTATATTCTAACACGACCCGTATTTTTCCCTATTGAACATAGAAGAACAGAAAGTGTGTGTTATTATGCAACAGATGCACAGTTTGACGTTCTATATTTAGACATGTGACGTAATCATTATACACGTGACGTAACCACTAAAAATACGACGCGCTGAAAATAAGTACGGAAAAAAATCAGGCGCAAATTTGCTTAACTATCAAGTACGGCAACATTTATTTGTTGATGTCGTGTTAGAATCGAAATAATATATCCAAATCAGAGATTTTATCTGTCGTTCGGATGCGCATCATTATATCACTCGGGCTACGCCCTCGTGATATAATTCCTCGCATCCGAACTCCAAACAGTGATGTTACTGAGCGATAAAATCACTGTTTGGGATATATTATTTCTTAAATGATGCACGTTTTTCGTTCAAATGCTTTGTAATTAATCACTCAGGCCTATCGGCCTTCGTGATTATATTACTACGCATTTGAACTCAAACCGTGCATTATTCTACAACAATGCACTCAGAATTGATATCTATTTCATAAATAAATGCTGCGTACCCTTCATAATTTTATATTTCAAAATAGATTCTAGTTGCTCAAATCGTTCTATATGATGATTATTTTGGGTTTTCTAGAAAATAACTTCATGTTACTGTATGAGAACTTTTACCTTCAATATAAAAGCAGTATGGTTACTTATTGATTAACAAAGGGTCAACGAATGGACTACCTTGTATTTAATAAGACGAGTTTTCCCCCTTATTTAAATACTTCTTCTTGACAAGATAATTGAATTAAAATCTCGCAATTAGTATAATTATTTCCTCTAACAAATGTATTTCAAAAAGCTTAAAGGCACAGTATGCGTCAGAAGTGCTATCTTTTTTTTATTTCTCAAAAACCTTTTTATTTTGTTATTATTATACAATTTTCAAAACAATACAACATTTGCCATATACATAAACATCTTTTGCCGCTTTTGTTATGTTGGCAATTGGTTTAATTATGGTGAATTGGTATTTTATATCGAAGTCAAAATACTACTTTGTTTACATTTTGCTACCTTTACGACACATTACTACATGTTCAGTGCTATTTCTTCGGCAGAAAAAAACATGTTATATTCTCTTCATCCATTCACAAAAAAATATTAAAAAGCATTTCTAAGGAATGTAAAAAAATATGAATTCCTGAGGCAAAGTGTGCCTTTAAAAGAACTGATGCACAGTGCGATTTTTATGGTATGGTAATCATAATATCTTTAATTCTCAAAATAATCTCACTCATATACTTCTTATGCTATAAAATGCACGTATAATACGCTCACAGTCTTTCGGGGTAAAACACTATACATTGTTAATCATATATCAACTCAGAAAGATGTCAAACCTGCGAGACAGTATGCCGTCTTTTATGTGACTGGTAAGACAAATTTATGATTCCATATTCCAACTCGATTATGACAATGTCATGCAATATATGGGATGCTGGATGTTGGCTTACCTTAAAGCAAGTTCAAAAACTAGTATTCACTTACACACAGACCTGACAAACATTAATATCAAAGGAATATAAAATGTATCAGTCCAAAGAGTTTAATTCTAATGCATATTGCACCGGATACAATTTTTAGAGGTCCCAAAAAATTAATGTCAAATGTATATTGTAATTAAAAGAAACAAAGTTCTGTCAAAATATCAAAAAATGTGGTATTCAATAATGAGGACATTACCCATTGGTGAGAACAATACTGATTACACAGCTACATAATGTATACCAGACTCGGATAGCACCGATAATTTTGACAGCTGTGACATTGTCCAATAGAATTCAGTATTATACTAACAGTTTATTATAACCGTATATTATTTTATGTTAACAAGTTAGAAACTGTGTTTTATCCGTGTGATAAAATCCATATCACTGTTATCACTGTATAACTGTTTATAATCCGTAAATTTTGTAAATTTACATGAAAGCTAATTCTAAATGACACATATCTTGATTCAAATATCATTATTTCTCTTAAAAATGTTCAAAGCAATGTTGACCACAAACTTGAATATTTGTTGCAGTATTTTCGACGCTCCTCGACGAAAACAGTCAAAATTGCTGTTTATTTACGTCTTATGTAATGTTAAACAAATATGTTGGTTTTTCGTGCAAATGATATATATTACTCATCAAAGTAGGACAAATCCACATTTTAATCGCGTATTCTCTCAACAGAGACAAATATCCGCTATATATTGAAAAGAAAATTAATATTTGAGGTAGTACGAGTATTTGGCCGAACGATTGATGTATATAAATATACCGAAAAAAGGCCATTTCATAATTTTTATATCAATTCATTTAAACAAAATAACAATAAGCAATATTTTCGCTAAGCTCTGTTATTAAAGTAAATAATGATTTTTAAAGCTTTATACAATAATGAAGCGGATAAAAGTTATATGTATTTCGTTCAAGCTATATTTTCTAGCAATATTGGAACAGTCTGATAACAGCATAAATAACTGTTTGTTATCTTCATCTGAAATAATAACCATGTATTTACTTGCTGTTCAGATCAATATATATACACATAGGTTTGTGAACAGCAGTGAAAGATCATTCCGAGGAACGGAACGCTAACAGTATTTTTACGAGGGATATTATGTTTTATTGTTACTCTCAATTTTATGTGTTTTCTATTTTATTACCCCGAACAAAATATTGTAATTCAACTAAATCTAACTGTAAAAAAATGAACCAAGAGTAACAATAACAATAGTAACAATAACTCAACTTTCCTAAAGTTTTAATTGAGAAATTATTTTTCTTTTATTATTTAAGCAAATGATGATTTCTACCAGTCATAAACATACAATAAGCTTTGTTTTATGAACTAAACACGAACCCATTTATACGGTTATGATCTGAGATATCTGGTCCTATCCAGAATATTCTTCACATGTTTTTTGACAATATTCATTGACGAAAGTACGATGATCGATATCCTACATATGATCTGTTCAACACACCGATTGTATTTGTTAAATAATTCTTCGTTGAAAACGGATGTTTACTTTGTGACTATT